GATCTTATTGTCAAGGGTGGTAGGCATTTCCCTGCTCTATATGAGAAGAATGTAAAATAGTTTACTATTGTTTAAGACATACTTTTGTTCCAGAGGTTATTTCTTTCTTTTTAAGTTCAAACATTCTGTGCTATAGGAATTTCAAAGACCCCAGAATAAGATACAGCATTATAGATATATATCCAATAAATATATATTAGCTTTAGTGTTTATTGCTTTGGAGCCACTTAACAGGGATGTCCCTTTCCGACCTTGGTACCTCAACAAAGCTGGGTCCCAAGGAGGGGCTGAGTGATGTGGGCTCACGACAATAGTATGTTTCTGAACCTTTTCTTTAATGCCTATATCTGATTTTAGATCCCAGCCAGCAACACTACAGCTGGACTCACGGAGGGATTTTTGGGGAGACAAGACTAGGAACTGTCTTCACTCTCTGTATCAAGTGGCCCTTATCTCTCCTTGAGGGGCTGGGTGTGCAAGGGACTCAAGTGTTAACTCACGTAACCCTCAATGCAGTTATGTGTATTGTTATTAACCTCATTTCACAGACAAGAAAACCGAGGCACAAAGAGGCTAACTGACTTGTCCACATGGAGCTAGTCAGTGGTAGGGTTGAGATTTAAACTCAGGTGGTGGACTTTAGTGCCTGCTCTTGATCACATCCTCAGCTACCTCTATGCGTATGCTTTTATCGGTCTCATTCAGTTATTCTTCTCCATGACCGAAGGAATGGCCAAGGGTTAAAATCTATTTTTTTTGTTTTGAATTACAAACTGTTATTTTTTCCCCCCTCTTCAGTGTCCAGTTAGGGTGAGAAACCTGTGTTAATTCAGATTCTTGCCAGGTGTGCTAAAAGTCTTTATCTTGCCTACACAAAAGTGGCATAAACTTCCACAGCCAACATTTCAAAGAAATGATTCACAATTCACTCCTTTGATTGTGCAATAGCCTATTAATACTGGATCTCAGTCTCCAATTGGTTTCTCTGCACCTATGCAAGAAACATGTTTTCCAAGGCTTGAGAGGTGTCATCATGCTGCCACCAATCAGTCCATCCTGTCCCTCACTGAGAAGGGAAAGCAAATACTGTCTGCTGTTGAGAAAATAAGCACATGGCAGGAAAAGCCCAGAAAACCATGCAAAAGATAAAATCTCAAAGGTGCCTACCATGTACCTGGCAGCAGCCACTGCATGACAGGCCAGACAGCAGTCCAGAGCCACTCTGGCTACCAGTGCAGATTCAAGCCCTGGATCGGGCATTGTCCTACCTGCCTCTTTGTAGTTAAGCCTCTACTACTTCATTTGAAAACTACAAACTTCAGATCCCAAAGGAACGCATGTTAGAAGCCAACTGTCTCAATCCCTTCAATTTGCAGGTTAAATAAAATGAGACCAACACATGTAGGTCAGGGGCAAAAGAAACTGGAAAGTCAGTGGGGATCTATAAGGGATTTTTTGCCTCATTTCATTTTGGAAAGCTCTCTCCTCTGTTTGGTTTTCTCCATTTTCCAAATTTTCCTTAGTGTGATTCTATTAATCCAGAGCACATTCATTGCTATTCACTTCTCCAAATGCCACTTGGTTCCCAATACACTCGAAGCCCACATTAGCATCAAGTCATCTTGAGCTCCTCTGAATAGGCCTTTCTTCCCGACTGCCCTCATTTATATCAGGCTACAGAAAAAGGACATCCCCATTCACCATGTGAACTGGGGAAACACTGCTCCACTGAGAGAAAGAGCAAGGATACACCTAGCCAGTCCTGTTCGAAGAGCTTCACAGATATATTTAATGCTCAAAAAAAGTCCTATGAGGTAAGTACTATCATGATTTCCACTCTAAAGATGAGGAAACCAAGGAATGGAAGAGTTATGGACATGTCCCGAACCAGTAAGCATTGCTGGGGATCGAGAAGTCCTACCATGGCTAGTTTTCTGAAAACCTGTTCTATCTCTTTGATGCCTGAACCATTTCAATTTGCATAGGAAGTAAGAAGCCACTCGGCCTGGTCACACACTGTTCTGAAAGTTCTGTTCTGTTCTAGGTTTCTGGGCATGGAGCTCTGGGTTGCTCGGGAAGAAACTGATTCTCCCACCTGCCACCTGCTCTGTGCCACTGCTCTTCAGTGGCTCCTCACCCTACAGTTCTACATTGCTAGCTAGCATCCATTGGGTTGGGAAAGCAAAGCACTCACGAATCACATTCTGAATTAAAACAAAACCACACACAATGAACATCTACTAGCTTCACGTCTGTCTGACCTGTGGGTTAGTCTTTAAAGATAAACTAGAAATCATGGCAGAAGAACCCTGAGGAAATTCTGGAACACTCCACCACAAGAAAAGGCAAGGACTTGCACACAACGCCTTAGTGGCAACTATGCCAAATTATCAGGGAATTTCCCCATTCTTCCAGGTATTACTGAACAAAAGGGCCTGCAGGCACTCAAGTATTAACTCAAATAATCATCAAAGCAATCTCAGTCCAATCACACCCTGTTCCATTCACATGCCCACAGCCCAAACAGCATGCCCAGATTACATGTACTTGGCATCCATGAAGTTCTAAAGGAAGCAATTTTTAAAAATTGGCCCAAAGAATTCCCAGACCGGGAAGCATTTCCAGGTTTCATTTCACAACTGCTCAACATGAAACCCAACCTGAGCAGGTACATGCACACTTTTCTTCAAACAAGAGGCTTAGCTTCAACTGGTGGTTGGAGGAAATGGACATCTTCCTGGACCCAACTGCAGCTTCCCTGGCTCTTTTGGCTCAAAGCAAACATTTCTGAACTAGTGACACTAGACTAGCAATGCGACATCATTACTATAACATGTTGTATTGGAGCAAGAGAAAGTAGAAATAGCCCTGAATTTCAGGGCAGGAGACCCATGGTCCTCCTAACCCCTCGTTCGATATATTACTTCATAACCCTGAGCAAATCACTTAATCTCTATGTCTCTTTTTCTCAGCTGTAAAGCAGGATCACACAGCCTGTTCTGCCTTTACCTGTGAGCTGCTGGCAGCAGATGAAACATCTATCCTAACAAGTATGCCATGGCCTCTCCTAGCTCCCCCATGCAGGGGTGGCTAGCATCATTGAGAAGTTGTATCTACACTGACCACTAAACTGTGACACTCATTGGCTCACTGTTCATTTCAGGAGCTTGATCTAAAAGCAGAAACAGAGGTCCTTTCTGGGGCTGGTGGTCATGAGGCATCTGTCTCTGCTTCAGCCCCAGTTCTCATTTTTGGGCTACTGTCCTTCTCTTAGAACACTTCTGGGGCTCCCTAGGAAGAAGCATCCTCAGTGTGGCAGAGCTGAACAACATACCACCTTCCTGGACCACAGATTTCCTAAAAAAATAAAAAGAATTCTTGAACCCCATAGATATTTTTTCTCCCTGTCTAAGCTGATTGATGCTTGAAAGTAAGAAGACAAACGTGCTTTTGATGTTCATAGATATCTTTGTTTCAATACTCACCTTTAAATTAAAAATCATTAAAGACTCTAAATATCAAGTTGCCAAGAGAACAGAAGCTATAAGCCACCCTTGCTGCTTTTCTGGCCAGAATTTTGGTCTTTCTCATCAGGTTTTTGTTTTGTTTGTTTTGAGACAGGGTCTTGCTATGTAGCACAAGATAGTTTTGAATTCTCTTACCTAGCCCAGACTGGCCTCAAACTCACAGCAGTCCTCCCAGGCACTGGGATTACATCACCATGCCCGGCTTTTTTTTTTTTTTTTAATACAGATGTTCTGGACTTTTTTCTTACTTTAAATAAACAATCATCACATTTTCCAAAGGAAGAAACGGAAACAGCAGGAGGGCAGCTCACTTTGCCCAGAGTTTGCTGCTTTTCACAGACTCAGTAGTGAGTAGTTTTGGCTCAGTAACTCACGACAATGTACCCTCAAACCAGGCGTGGTGGCACACTTCTGTTAATCCCAGCACTTGGGAGGCTGAGGCAGGTGGATCGTGGCAAGTTCAAAACCTGCCTGGGTTACAAAGTGAGCCCAAGGCCAGCCTGAACCGCATGGCAAGATCCTGTCTCAAAAAAGGGCGGGGAGTTGCTGAGGATTTAGCTCAGCGGCATAAGCGCCTGCCTTGCAATCGCGCAGTCGTGAGTTTGATCCCTGGTACCAATTGAAAAAAAAAAAGACAACATACGCTGGAAGCTCAAAATCCACAATTAGCAGACAGTTGCAGGGGGAGCCAGCTGGATTCCTCACTCAACTGAACCTGGTTAGATCAGTAAACGCCTGCAGGCTGCTGTTTCTCCAGCTGTGAACTTTGGATTAACAGAGAAGCCAAAAGAGGTGAGGTTTTGGAAACTACATTCTATCAATCTCACAAGATGAAATGAGCAAGTGAAGATGGTTTCTCCACCCTCTAGAAACTAGCTTTTTCCACAAAGAAAACCCTTTGAAATTTACAATACCCGCTGTCATCCTTTCCGCGGGTAGAAAGCAATCTGTCCCAAGTCCCCAAGAAAGGTTGTTAATGGGCAACAAGCCCACATAACTAATCCCACAACTATCATCCTTAACCAACTCTGGAGAAAATTACCAGCTTCCTTCGAAGTCCAAAGGCTGAATTAGGCACAATTTAGTGTGTTCCCAGGAGCTGTTGGGCAGTATGGGGAGAAGATGGGGTTAATACACCCGAGTCGTGGTGGAATTTTTTATGAAGTGCAGCCTGAGTATAAGGAGTAAAGTACAGGCAGGATGGCCCTCTTCCCTAACACACACGCACCTAACGGTAAAACTAGTTCTTACTGCAAGCTGTGTCTCTACTCAGGAAAATGACTGGGGCACTCCAACTGTTTGCAAACACATGGTCAGCATGCAAAGACTGCAGCCGTTATTTTGATAATAAAAATGTTAACGGCTATCAGCAGCCAATTAAGTCTTAAGCTCTATGAGGGTAGGTATATGAACTGGAGGACAACAGAGAGACGACCTTTCCCACTGCACCTTTGGGAAAGTGTTGAGCATTACCTGACCAGGTCGAGGAAAGAGTCCACTGTTTCTTTGGGGACCGGGGGAGGCCCCGATTCCTCCAGCCCCAGGTCGCTGGACTGAAGGGTCTGTGCACCAGACCCTGGCTTGATGATGAAAGCCAGGGCGACGGCGAGCGCCGAGGCACCCAGGGTGGTGAGGGCAAAGTAGGCGACGGCGATGCCACCCAGACGCCCGAGGGAGCTGGCGTCCAGAGAAGCAGCCCCGGACACCAGGCTGCAGACCACCAGCGGCAGGATGATCATGCGCAGCATGCGGAGTAGCATCTCGCCGGGGAAAGCCAGGTAGGTGATCTGCGTGCGGCTCAGCTTGCACTCGCGTAGCGCCGCGCCCAGGCCCGCGCCCGCCAGCACCCCAGACACTGTGAGCAGCACCATCGCGTGGCGCCGCAGGAAGCCGGTGCAGCGCCTCGCGCGTCCTGCCGGGGTTCCCGCTACGCCGGGTCCCCCTGCAGGCCCCGCCTGGACGCCATCGAGGTAGCTGTTGGTCTCGCTGCTCTTCTCCATGGCGCTGCTCAACGCTGCAAGCAGCAGCAGGTCGGAAACTTGGGCTCTGCGAAAGACACGCTCCCGATGAATGGATCTGGTGAAGCTAGGGTGCCTCTCAGCTATGCCCCGCAGTTTCTGGGAGCCAGTCTCCGGGGGTCTTCCGGACAGTGCGCGAAGGGTGAGAAAAGGCGTGCCTGGTGGGTCCCAGCCCAGGCTAGAGTGACTGTACCGCGGCCAGCTTTCTCTGCCACCGTCTGGTGAGATGATGCAACGCGGTAACCGCGCGGGAAGACGCAGACTGGGAAGGTGGGCGTGAGCCGGAAGCGCCTGGATCCGCCCCCGCGTCCCCCGCCGCCACGCCCCCAGCGGCGCCGACCAATCACTATCCGGGAGGCGCCGGCGCGCACCCTCTCCCCTTGCCCCAGAACTGGTTGGGGAGCGTCGTGTGTCTGGGTCGGGGCTGGGGGAGGGGGTCGGCCCTAGCAGGCGGACGGGAAGGCCAGGGCCAATCCAGGTGCCCACAGCCGCCTGCGGCCTCGCCGACGCGGCCCGGCTCCTGGTGACCGTGGGCGCGCGGCTGGAGCGGACCGCCCGGCTTTGCTGGCACCTGCCGGGGTCTCGCAGAATCTGCCGGGGTCTGGGCTTTCGGGGACTGAGGGCCTGCGGAACGTGGAACTCCGCGGCGTTCTTTGTCTGGCGGGGCTAGGGAAGGCGCGGGGTTCTCCGTGCGTCCCGCATTCCCACCCGCCGGAGAGTTCTGTGGCGAAGGGGTCGCGCGAGGAGAGAACCAGGCTCAGTCCTCCCTCCGGGTTCTCCTGCAGAAAGCCCTTTCCTCCAGAGGTTTTTGGGGTTTCCGACGGCAAAGCACGTGGGCACAGGCCTGGGCCTGGTGACAAAAGAAGGGTGTGCGTGTGGATGGGGCGGATGGATGGATGAGAAGTCGCACTCCCTCGGCGAGGGCTCTGCAGAAGCGTTCCCGTAGCGGGACTGGGCCTCGCGGGGGCGCTGGTTTCTGCGTTGCGTGCGGGCCAGAGTGCTCTCCTGCGTGTGCTCCTGGGCCTCCGGCGCTGTCTGCAGTTCACGGGCAGCACACGCAAAACTCCTGAAAGCAACGGACTCTAAGCCTCGCGCCACCTTTTGCGTTTGCGTTTCTGCCGCGTAACCTCAGCTGAAACCCAAACCACCGGATTTTAACCTCTTCATCTCCCGGCTCTAGTCCTGGTGCAAAAACAGCTCGGACAGGGATTTGGCCAGCCTGTAAAGTTTCTTTCTTCATGTTTCATTAATTTCCTTTTGATTTTATCTTTTAAAATTTAATATCTGCAGTGGCCACGGCAGGTATAAAGGAGACACTTCTGTAGTCTTTTTTTAGTGCCAACTCTATTTGTATATGTTATCATTGCACTTTTGCATTCTCATTCTGCTATTTTAAGCCTTCTTATGTGTAGCTAACCTAAATTAAGTAGAAAGGCAATTTATTATTGATTACTTGTGGAGAAACTGTCATCGTAAAACATATCATGACAAATACTTGTACAAATCGAGATGCCTTTGTAAGGAACTTCACAAGTTGTTCAGATTTTGAGACAATGAGAAGTTCTTTGCTTAAAGCCAGCCAGTTGTTGGCTGGAACTGGTAAGGGTTTTGGTGGAAGGAAGCGAATTCCTTGGGTGAAGTGCTGGACATATTTTTATCTGATTTCTCAGGATGCAGATTGTTTGTCTGTGTGCACTGAAAAAGGGCAGTTCCTGCAGACACGGGCTCTGTTTTCCCATCAGCCCCTCCTTTGTCTTGACTACCTCTTATGCAGAAGATATCAAGTCACGCTCTAGGAATGACTTTCCCGACTGCCTGCTTTACATCTGCTTTGCAGTTGGATTTTGATTAAACTTATGATGGCTGCCCTCAGTCCTGCTCAACCATCCTACTCCTCCCCATTTCTGTGATCAACATCACTGATGACCCAGTTCACCTCTGAAATTTCAGTGGCCTTTAATTCTTCCCTCAGGTGTCTGCTCTCATTGGATCAGCTGCCAAGTCCCATAGCACTGCCAGCGTCCACCCATTTACACTGCTACACACTGGCTCAGTTATTTCCTCACGTTTTACCTGTTAGGCAAATTTATCTGGCTTATTATCTAAAGTATCCTCTATTTTGCCTTGCCCTGAGTAATCTTTCAGAGGGAAAAATGAGGGTGCATTCTCCCCTTAGGATTTTCTGAAAGTTGTGCACATTATTTCCTTTCATCAAAGATAATTTAGTCAAATGATCACACCTATGTGCAAGACAATAGGAAATGTAATTTTGGGGTTTTTTGTGGGGGAGCGAGTTGTCTGATTGAGACAAGGTCTTGCTCTGTATTTGAGCCTGGCCTAAATTTAATTATGTAGCCTAGACTGGCCTCAAACTCACAGTGATCCTCCCACCTCAGCCTCCCAAATGCTGGGATTCCAGGCATGGTGCACCATGCCCAGCATTAGGAAATGTAACACACAGGCATGCTCCCCAATTAAAAACTAGAGCTGATGTTCCTAGAGCATAGAAAAACTGGAGAACAATTCTTGTTCAAAAACTTTTGCTGAGTCCCAAAGATTTAAGAATGTGTCAGGCGTGGTGGTGCGTGTCTGCAACCCCAGTACTCTATAGAGTTTGAGGCAGGAGGATCACAGTGAGTTGGAGGTCAGCCTGGACTAGATAGTGAGTTCAGGGCCAGCCTGAACTACATAGTGAGACCTTATCTCAAAAAAAAAAAAAAAAAAAAAAGACCTGAAACAAAACAGAGGAGAGATCATTGATCTGGGCAGTGATTTTTTGGATGTGACCCAAAAGGACAGGTTAAAAAAAAAAAAAAAAAAAGACAACGATGCACAGCAAAAGAATAAGAGTAAAAAATTACAGAATGGGAGGCTGTATTTGCAAACTGCTCTTCTGATTTTAGAAACTAGCAAAACCACTTTAGTTGATGCTTTCTTTTTAGGAAAGACTGATCAAACAGAGCCATCTAAAGAGATGAGTTAGATCATGGGAATGTAAAGTAGTCTGGTATGTAGGTTCTCATGTTTCCTGAGAGTTAAGTTTAATTCAGAAGTACAACCAGATTTTTATGGAATTGTTTACGAAGAACAGCTCCCCTTACAAGGCTCATAGTGTTAACACAGATAAAGGATTTCAAAAAATTTATAGACTTAGATAATGAGAGTAAAAAGAATTAAAATTCTTATCTATAGGTACCAACTCCTCACAATGAATATATCATTACTTACTGCAATTATGTACTAATAGTTTTTTAAAAAATAAAAATGAGAGAAAAAATGTGAAAAAGGAGATATAGATTATGTGGGTCACTGGTTAAAATGCCTCCTTGGGGGCCTGGAGCAGAGACTGGGAACCTGCATTTCAATAACCCAACACTTCTGTTCTCTCCCACTATTCAATTAAGAAGGATTTATGAGGCCATTGAATTAATAGAACTGAAAATTAAAAAACAGTCAAAGATAAGGTCCAGTGTTGTTCCTTCAAAGCCTGGTAATCAAGTCCTCCTTTCTAAGAAGTAAGAACCGAGTGAGACAGGAAGAGAGGGGTAATGTGGAGGACAAATGGGTATCAATTAGAATGAATAATAGATCTCACAGAAATTTATTTTGTTTAGCCTAAGAGAAAGAAAAAAAAGTGTTCCACCTTAGAAATGTTTTGTAACTCTGAAATAAGACCTAAGCATCTATATATTTTTAATTCTTCCAGTTAATAGATGAATGAGATAAAACCTCCAAGTGCAACGGGATCTGGATTGAAAGGAAGCTAATGCATAATTGTGAGAAAATTAGGAACGCTATGGACTGTATGTCGTATTTAATGAGAAGGTTTTTTTTTTTTTAATTTAAAAGGAAAAAGAGAACAAAACAAAACAAAGCGGTGTAAGGGTACAAGTAATACAGAACTACAAAAAAAAAAAAACTAATAAATCACCAGTTAATAGAGTATACATTATCATCGTAGAGATAGTTGCTCAAGTCACAGTATCAAAGCATACAAAGTGGACATTCAAACAGTGAGACTGCAAACAGTTGTGTTCAATGATCCAACCAAAAACATTAATATGGTCATTTATTTAACACCCCTAAACACACTTGCAGTTGTATCCTTTAGAACACTTTTTTTCCCCTCTCTTTTTTACAACAAAATTTACACATTTTGGGTTTTATTACTCCTTAGTTCTTACTACTTTTTTTTTTGGAAGAGAATAAAGTCAAATATGGGAAAACAAAGCTGTCAGTCAAAACCAAGGATAGACATAGCACATGATGTAAAAACAGAGTACAAGGTTATCGACAATGGTTACCATAATGCCTCTTGCTTCCTTAAAAAGAATTGTCTATCTCATTAAGTATTATAAAGTTGAACAAAACAGTAGAGAACAAGACCAATAAAACCTAAACCTTGTAAACATTACAGGACTTCCATAGAAAATAGTAGTCGAACCAGAATGGGCATCATAGTGAATCTTATTGCCTTCAAAGTAGTTGCCTATACCTCAAACTTGATATTATCATACAGAATGGAACAGAGTCTAATCAGTCAAAACAAGATAATGGGAGTATTACAGGACTTCAAATCAAGTTAATAGGAAATCAAAAAAGTTACTATAATATATCCTGCCAATTTTTAAAATTTTTACCCTTAATTAAAAAAATCATAAAAAATAACTAAATAATTTTTTAATGAATAAGGGAGAGGTTGAGATAACAGAGGACATAACAACATAACAATACAAGTCAAAGCATGACAGTTTCAGCAACCTAGTGCTGCACCACCAAATAACCCGACTTAATAGTAGTTACCATAGTGTCTTTTTCCTTGAAATATTTGAATATAACTTCATATACTATAGCTTCAAATATATCCAGTCAGTGTAAAACCATTCAAGTGGATGAAAGCATTGTAGGGTATTTAAAACCAGCTAACAAAAAACGAACAATGGTTTCTATATTATCTCTTTGCCTATAACAATTTTTGTTTATACTATCACATATAATAAAATCCAGCAAGATACATCATGATAAAACCAATGGAGACAGAAGAGCCATGGTTTGGTGGGGCTTCAAAACAAGATGATAGTAAATCAGCACTAGCTATTATGATGCCTTATTTTCTTCAAAATAGCTGTTCATTTCATCACAGGCAATAATATCAAGCAGCCCAGAATAAAGCCATTCCAATTAATAAGTGAAAGCTTTATAAGACTTCAAGGCCA